TCGGATCAGATGCTCAGACAGAAAGAGTCCAGCCCAGATCGAGTCGACCTGGACTATATGGCCGAGATGAGGCCGCCTCAATCTTCCTGAAGCAACTAAAGCGACTGCGCTCGTGAGCATCACGCGTGCGTGGTCGCTGGGTGGGTGCTGGCTGGACAGCGGTTACCGTAAGTGTTCGATGGTGTGGGCACTCGGAATTTGTTACCGCGCTCAGCGTTCTCACGGACTGGCAGTGACAGGAGCTGGAACACCTGCTAGAAGAGTGAAGACTTATGCAGACGGGTGACTCCACCAATAACCAGACAAATGACCTCAAACCAGTTACTGACTTATTGAGGTCCCAGACACCTATAATATGGGGCTAATAATATGGGGCTAATAGTCCCCACTTCACAGATCATCTTCTGAAGATGAAGTGAAACATTACACTAAGGCATTTGCACGGTGTCTCACCCAGATGGAGTGATGTTAGCTCTACAGCTAGTCTTCTCATCTCCGTTTTGTGTTGCAAAGACTGATGTATATAGAGTTACCAAGTCCCATCTGGTTGGAGCATCAACCATCAACTGTTCCCCCCCTTGTGAGCCTGGTGCTGTTAACTGAAGAAAATATGTCAAGACCTGCCCACAGCAATTGTGCGACTTGACAGGAGCAGTTGGAAGGAGACAAACCCTAAAGTGAGATGTTCTTTTAATTAAATTCTGCACATTGTCTTCATTAAATTCTGCATCCCCTTTTGCTGGAGCGTTTTGAGGAAATCCCTATGGTTCTTCTTGAGCTGCTCCTTTCCGCAGTTGCAGTGGAATAGCAATTCCTGCAGGTTGGTACCCGTACAAATCCCTGACACCACCCAGTTCGGTCGGTTTCTCTCCCATTCCTCACCACAGCTCCCGCGCAGACACCATTCCCCACTGTCATTCTTGTGGGAGCTCATCTACCTGAGTGAAGAGGTGCTGAGCAACATTTCGTTTCATCCACATCTACCCTTGACCTCCCTCCTACTCTCAACTAGGGAGAAAGCAGCCTCTTCTTCACAGCTCAACCCTCCCAGGCCCCTGCCCACCCTCCCCTGTTTCCCCTGGATGCTTATGCCTGATCCTCAACTCTCCTTTTCTATTGACTCTTCCCTCTGTCTCCTTATCTTCCCCCTCAGCCTAAAACCTTGCTCAAGTACCTGCTCTTCCTTTAAAAAAAAAAAAAAAGCAATCACAAAATGTTCCTGCCTGTAATTAGCCCAACATGGTTTCATCAACCTACAACAAAGTACTGTAAAGTACAAATTAGACCTGGAGATCATAGGAACAGGATAGCTCAGCCAAAACCCTAGTGTATGTAGAAACTCCATAGATGGTCTTAAAAGATCATCTGCGATATGCTAAAAATCTTAAGACTCTATTTGAGGTAACATTTGTTTACAAAATTATACATGATGTAGGGGACTAGAGTCACATACATCGCTCCTGGAATGTATGTTACCAAACCACCCGTAGGTCAAAGTACCCAGAGTGCTTTACCCAAGGCCCTTAAGCCCTCTCCTCCCTTTGTTCCCATTCCCAGCTTCCTGCCCCCTCAAGCAGCATAACTTACAACTTATGTAGTCATATTGACAGTTTCTTTTTATTTAGCTTTATCAGTACCTTTTGGTGTTTTTTTTTTCTATATATGATTGAAAGAACCCAGATTTTGTCTTTCTCCTTCTGACTTATTCACTTATTCACTTATTCACTCTAATTCCATCCATGTTGTCACAAATGGCAAGAGTTTTTTTTTTTGTTTGTTTGTTTGTTTTTTAGCTGAGTAGTATTCCATTAACGGATTTAGGGCACATCTATGTACCATATCTTCTTAATCCACTGTTCTGTCCATGGGCATTTGGTTTCCATAATTTGGCTATTGTAAATGGTGCTGCAATGAACATAAGAGTGCATATTTCCTTTTGAATTAGTGATTTTTTATTCTTTAGTAGAGACACCTGGGCGTGGAATTGCTGGATCATGTGGTATATCTACTTTTAATATTTCAAGGAAATTCCATACTATTTCCTATAGGGACTAAATCAGTCTACATTCCCACCAACAGTATGTGAGAGTTCGTTTTTCTCCACTTTCTCATCAGCATTTGTTGCTTCTGGGTTTTCTTTGTTTTTGACATGGGCCATTCTCACCAGGGTGGGATGGTATCTCATTGTGGTAATAGTTTGTACTTCCCTGATAGGTGATATTGAGCATTTTTTCATGTGTCTGTTGGCTGATTGTCTTTTTTTTTTTTTTTTGAGAAGTGTCGATTTAGCTCTTCTATGCAGTTTTTTCATTTTGTTCTTTGCTTTCTTTTTGTTGAGTTATTATAAGTTCTTTGTAGATCTTAGACATTAGCCTCTTGTCAGATGTTATGTTTTGTGTTCACTATGGTCTCTTTTCCTTTTAATGATAGTTTCTTTCACTGCATAAAAGCTTTTTAACTTGCTGGCGTACCCTTCATTTATTTTTGCTTTTGTTTTCCTTATAGTTGGTGTTGGGTCACCAAACACATCCCTGAAGTCAAGATCGTGGCATTAATGTTTTGCCTATGTTTTTGTCTATGTACTTTATGGTTTCTGGTCTTTTTATTTTATTTATTTTTTTTTAAGATTTATTTATGCATACAAGAGCTGGGCACAGGCCATTTGTGCAGGAGGGTGAGAGTATTCACCAGAGACAGAGCAGGGAACAGAACAGGCAGACTGACTGAAATACACTGCTGAGGGGAGCAGCGGGCCAGGCAGGAGAGGTCTGCGGCGCCATGCCGATATCTGCGATGGCCGGGATGGAACCCGTGCTGCAGAGGCTGCGGACAGCTTCACCGGGCTGCACTCAACCGCCTGTGCCACCAGGGAGGGCCTGTTTCTGGTCTTACATCCAAATTTTTAATTCATTTTGAGTTAATTTTTATCTGTGGTGTGAGTGGTTGTTTCATTTTTCTGCATGTGGCTGTCAGTTCTCCCAGCACCATTTGTTGAAGAGATTTTCCTTTCTCCACTGTATACTCCTGGCTCCTTTGTTGTAGATTAACTGTCCATATACCTGTGTGTTTATTTCTGGGTTCTCAGTTCTATTCCATTGCTGTTACAGGATCTGGCAGGGTGCAGCAAGGTCTGCTGCTTCTGGATCCAGGGCCAGTGGCACTCAGGGCACAAAATCTTACCAAGTCCTGCCACCACCCACCACTGGGGGGCATTGTGCAGTGCAAGCCTCCCACAGTGTGCAGTCTGGCCTCCGGGATAATTGCGGTCCACAGCTCAAAGGAGAAGTTGTGGACTCCAAGTGCCCAAGTCCCTATTCAAGCCTCCTACAAAACTAGTCAGTCTGCTCCACCCTTCGCTCAGGACTTCCCAGGTGGAGTTCAGACCAAGGCACTGTGCAAAGTAGGGCCCTCTGTAATGTTGTTAGGACGTCTGGGGGCAGAGTTTGCTCATCCTGGCAGGCTTACTTTATGTCCAATCTGGGAGGCCCAGCCAGGCACTCCCAGGGCTGGGGAATGCAGGGCTTAGGTGCATTGGGCCACTTCAAAAGTAATAGTACATCAATTCTAGGAATACCCTTTTTTTTTTTTTTTTTTTTTTGATGAAAAGGGTATACCTATGTTACTGACTCAGGAAACCTTGTTTTCGATACTGAGACTTCCATAAACATCTTTTCTCCCACATCAGCCTTCAGGCAGATTTGTAGCCCATCTCTAGTGGTCTTGAGGACTTGATGGAATACATTTTGTGGCTAAATGCATATTATTCCTGTATGTATATTTTACTGTATTTATTCTTTTTCCTCACCTATATTTAACATCTTTTATCATGATAGGCTGCCCTAAATCCTTACTGGAACAAGAATGAGTATAACTACATCTAGTAGTGGAAGGGGTAATAAGCAATGTGAGCCCAATTTTACCATCTCAGCTGACTTTGAGTCTCAGATTACAGAAGAAAATAAAAGCTCACGGACCTCTATTATCATTTCTACAGAAATAATAGAGGTGACTGCTACTTTCCGTTATTCCACCTCAAAAAATCAACAAGTCTCTCCAGCAAAATACTAGTGCCCCCTAGAGTCCAACATGCACCTTGCTTTTATCGTTAAAAAGCAATTGTAGTGACCCGAAGCTACGGATAAATTTTAAAAATAAATTTGGGGGCAGTGAATCCTGAACAGCAATATAAAAGCATGCCACTATCCTACAAATCACAAACGAAAATCCTCGCCGTTCCCCGCACCAAGAGCAAGGAATATACAAAAAAAAAAAAATCCGGCAGGTGTCTTATCTTTTTAAATCGCTGTTTTATAAGACTCCATCTCTTAAGTGCAGCTTCCCAGGAACCCAGATAATTATTTCCTCATTATATTTATCTTTTAATGCAAGGGCCGATGGTGTTTTATAGAATGCAGCAGTGATTGCAATGAAAGGTACAGAAGCTTTCAAAACCTAGTCATTAAAGGTGGTGGAATTTATTCACTGCAGCTCGCCTGTTCTGACACCGCCACCCCGAGCTCGGAGCTGCAGGGGGCAGTCCCGGGGGGGCGGCCTCTCTAGCCCCGAGCCCTCGTCCACCCGCGGGAAGCGCGCCCCAGTCTACCCCACATTCGGGGCACGCCCTGGAGGGGAGAGTCCGGGGCGTTCGACTCCCGTTTGCCTTTGCTGCGACCTGGAACCTTATATCCCGCAGGGTCCCGGGTTGTTTCGAGGCCCCCGGCGCCCCCGCAGGGCGTGTCCCAGGCCCGGCCTGCAGGGGGCATCCGCGTCCCTCCGCCGCGGACCCGGGGCAGAGACAGGCAGCGCCCAGCCCCTTCCCCCTGCGCCTGCGCACGGACTCCGCCCCTGTTCGGGACACGCCCCTCAACCAGGCCACGCCCACCTCGAAGAGCGCGATTGGCGGCGCGGCGGGGGCGGGGCCCTGGGAGGTGGGCTGAGGGGGCTGGGCCCGGGAGGGGACAAAAGCTGGGAGGCCGCGAGGCCCCGCCCCGCGCCGGCCCCTGGATTCCGGGAGCGGCGTAGTCAGAGCCGCAGCAACCGCTCGGGCCCCGCTGCGACTGCGGGCGACGGCTCTGGGGAGCCTGAGCGTGTGTGCGGCTGCGGCGCGCGGGTCTTCACCGGCGCACCTTCCCCTGCAGGTAGCTGCGGCTCCACACGGCGTCTCCGGCTCCTGGCTTTTAGGGGGGCCCTCAGGGGGCTAGGCGGGGCTGGGGAAGAGGAGGGACGCCCGGTCTCGGGTGTGCAGAGGGGAACTTAGGGGCTATTGGGGCGTCTGGGAAGAGGGGCGTGGGAAGGCGAAAGGAGGGGGCCAGAGCATGGGGGTGGACGGCCCGCGCCGGACTCGCGGGGTGACCCCGGGCGGCGGGGAGCTGCAGGCAGCGAGCCCTGGAAGCCCCGTCCGCGCAGAGAGAGGAGCTGCGGGCGCTGCGGGGCTCGCAGCAGACGGGCCTGCGTGGACGGGACGGGGACCTGTGGCAGTGGGCGCTGGAGGCAGGGAAAGGTGGACGCCCAGGACTTGGGCGAATGCAGCTCACGAGCTCGGCCTGCAGGGGGACGCGGCCGCCGGGGCGGGGGGCCTGCAGGGGCGGGCCTCGGGGCTGGCCTGAGGGTGCGGACCCGGCCTCCGGGTGGCCGGCGCGAGGGGCGGGCGGTGGAGGAGCGCCTCCGCCCACTATCTCTCCGCCATCGGGATCTCCAGTTCTGGGGGAGGCGTTCCCGTGCCGCCTGTGGGAGTCGGGGTTTAAAGGTCCCGGCATGCGACATCATGGGGCGGGCCTGCAGACCTGGAAGGAGGGTCTGCATTAGGTCTTGCATTAGGTTTTGCATTAGGTTTTGCATTAGGACTGGACGGGGGCCAGCTTGGGTTGCAGCCCTCTTGCAACCCAAGGACGGCTGCGGGCCAGCAGCCTGCTGGTCACTGCGACCTAAGGGCGTGCAAACCCCAAGACCAGCTAACGGACGACCAACTGGGAATGCGCCCACAGACGCACCCTCCTGTGTGTGCAAGCAGAGGTATTTGTGCTCCCGTGACCTTTATTTGGAACTTGACTTCGGACCTAATACTGCACTTTGACCCTCTGGGCACGCTCACCGCTGTATTTTAAACCAGATAAATCGGGCTGTCTGGCCGGTCTTAAAAACATGTGCATTCTCCTGACAGGTGTTTTATGTGTTATCTTTCTGTTCCTCGTTTGTTTTGTCTTTAGGCGATAAACTGCACTCAGCTGAGTCTGCAAGATTAAGAGGAGTTGGAGTGATTAGAAGTTGATTCTCTGCAAAAGTGAGAATTAGCAATTTCTCCCTTTCTGTTCTTTCTTTGATGTGGCAATACTGCTTTTAGTTGGCCTTGGAAGTCTTAGAGGAAGGGAGTAGGTCAAATATATTTTCAGAATAATTTGCAACTGGTGCCTTGTTTCTTTCAGTTCATTGTCTTACTGGCTGGAGACAATTTTTTGCCCAGAAATTATTGTAGTTCGGGAACTCAGTAACAACAACAACAACAAAAGTGGCTTAAAATTTGGTTGATAAAAATTAACTAGGATCAGCGGCTTCATTTTCTTAGTCCAGATTTGTTTTCTGGAATTGCACGAGTGTGTCAGGAGATTGGAATTCAGCTGATTTCAGACTAAATGAACGGCCCTGTTGGTAAAGTCCTTCTTTCTGAAGTTAGGGTTGGGGTGGAAACAAAAAATCAGAGGGACAAAGTTACAGAAGTGAATCCACTGGGGCCTAAAGCCCATCCCACAGAATTCAAATCTAGAAGAACTTAGCAAGGGTAGTCAATGAAACTTCGTTTTGTTTAAAAGGTGGTAAAATGTTAATGGATAAGTTGTGAGGAAAACCTGAAATATTTCATTTATCTTACTGCAGGTAATATGTTTGCTCCAACTGAGAAGGAAATAACCAAAAAAATATAGTCATTCAGTATTGAAATTTCAAGTATGGCACGTGACCCCCAATTGAGTATATTTGCTATCAAGAAAAAATAGCCAAGTCATAATTCTTGCATAACACTATGTAGGAATATGGGCCTCGGAAATGTAGTATCGAGACCAAGTTAAGTTTGCTGCTGCTTTATTTGTTTTAAATACATAAGATGTGGCAATGGCATCTGCACAACTGAGTCATATGCTTTCAGCTGTACTGTAAATTTTATTTGAAATTACGAATGGGAAGTAATTGACTCATTCACACCAGTTTATTTACTTCTTTCTTTCTAGTTTAGTTCCAGATGGTTCCCCAGTAATGGTCTAGAGAACTTCCTAATGCAAGATTCTAGAATTAGGGGATTAGGAATATATCCTGGTTTGTCACAAGGAACTGAGGTTCGTAGTTTACTAATCATTTTTTTCATATCAAGGCCAAATTACTGTAGCTCAAATTTTTTCAAAAGGGATAGTTTACAGGATTCTTACATAATAATTTTTTCAGCCTCAGCTTTTCCAGGCCTCAGCTATGATTTAAGGGAATGAAGGCAGTTTGTAGTTGTGTTGCTGAAAAAGTTTGCATTAGAGAGAACGGAAACTTTAGCCGTCTCAGGGCCTCCTCTACCTCTCAGGGAGCAAACATAGAACATGGGTTTCCTTTCAGCCTCATAGTTTTGCTTCTTCCAAAGGATCAACCCCTCCCCTTTCTGGGAATCAGACTGATTTCTGTTTGCTGCCCTGTACACCACTCCTCAAAATGACAACCTGTCCCACCCACCGACAGCTTTTCTTTGCCAAACCAACAGCCAGAAGAACAATCTAGGAATTGGGATACTGAGGAAGAGGACAGGGACATGCTTGGGGCTTGGAAAGTGACCCGTCTATATACAGATTTCTGTAGTTAAGAAATCACTTTTGTATTTAGCTTTACATCCCTGATATACATTATTGTCTCTAGGAAATTCACCATGATTTCTTTATCTTTCACTGTAGCCTTAAGTTCCCTTAAACGTGGGTCATAAGAACTTGTTGAATCTCCTAAGGATAGTTATTTTAACCAAAACAACCTCTTCAAAGAGAAAAAATACTAGTTTTTGACATTCTGTTTCTCTTCCAGTTAAGTAGAAGTATTCAAATAAAATGATATTGTAGAAATATCTCATTTTGTGAGACAGACCAGCAGTCAAGAATAGTAATTATGTTATTAAGGACATTTTAACCCCATACTTTAGCAGAATGGCCTTAAGAAAGTTATCTTTTTAATCAAATGAAATGGAAAAATGATTTCCATTTTTCAAGACTGTTATGAACACTGACTCAGAAACCACATACAAAGCATGTACAATGCTGTATATAAAGAACATGCTCAATTCTAATGGTAAATGTAATTGTTATGATTAGCTTTTTATGTAGTCATGTTACATGAATTATTTCACAGAATAGTTTGTATTTTGTTTTTACACTATAATGAAATAAAACTTGTGTCTTATCTTTTTTCTTTTTAAAGGTTTATTGAAGTCAAAATGTCTCAAAAAATCCGTGGTGGTTCTGTGGTAGAGATGCAAGGAGATGAAATGACAAGAATCATTTGGGAATTAATTAAGGAAAAACTCATTTTCCCCTATGTGGAATTGGACCTGCACAGGTGAATGAACTACTCCTTCAAGTAGCCAAATCAAAAATTATAGTCTTAACGGATTTTAGGGTAATACGCTGGATTTTTTTTTTTTTTAAGATTTTATTTATTTATTTATTTATACAAGCACTGGGTACAGTCAGAAGCGCAGGAGGGTGAGAGAATTCACCAGAGCGGGGAACAGAACAGGCAGACTGACGAAATACACTGCTGAGGGGAGCAGCGGGCCAGGCAGGAGAAGTCTGTCGCACCATGTGGGACCCTCGCTGGCAGCCGGAGATGGAACCGGTGCTGCAGAGGCTGCGAGCAGCTTCATAGCCCAGCACTCAACCGCTGTGCCACTAGGGAAGGCCCTACACTGGATTTTTATATAGACATTGCTGTATTTTATGAATAGAGCTTTTGTGGAGGGATGCCTAAATAAATGGTCTATTTTAATTTTGTTAGGAAAACTGGACTTTTTGTTGTTCAGAAGAGAATTATGATGAAAACAAAGTGATTCTCACTTCTTTCCAAGCCTCTATTTCCTGTGAAGGTTTTCATGTGATAAATCAGTAGCCAGGAGTAACACAAAGTATTTGTTGAAGTGAAAATAGTAGAGGTACATCCTCTATTAAATCAGTGAAGTAAATATATAAACATAATTCGTCTTTTCAAGGTCTACTTTCTAGCACTCTGCTTAACTAATCAATGGACCTTACCCCCTTTTCATTCCTTGCCTTTGCCTTTTTTCTCCAATCATAACAGAAAAAAACCTTAGAGTTATTTAATCCAATGCGCACGTTTCAGTAGAAGTTCCTTTAAACCATTTTTATCCTAGAGACTTGAACGATTGCCTCATATTTAAAGTGTTTGGAGACAGATACAAACTTCCAATGGAATTCTTTCATCTTTCAGTCCTGTGTTTTTCATAAATTTGCTCATGATTTTTATATATTTGAACTAGATAGGGACAGGATTTTTGCAAGGGTGAAGTGGCTGAAGACTGGCATGGTAAAATGTTGAACAACATACTCCAGGCAAATTATTGGCAATTCTAAGTGTGTTTGCCTTAACCCAGAATTATTGGTCAGGCTGTGTGCTGAGGACTTAGCATTTACTTGGGTGTAGACTTTTAATTCACATAGTCTCATTAGACACTGTAATTATTCTAAACTGAAGCTATTAATAATAACTATTACAACCATGAGAAGCAAATACCTACAGAGATTAACCAGACATATAGGAAACAAAGCATCAGAACATCATTCAGGTGAGTTAAAGGTGCATTTTACAAATATCCTCCTGTGTCATTTGTCTACAGGACAATAATGAGTTTACGGCATTCTTGACAGTTTAATAGCAGCAGAGATGCTTTGGGAGTCCTTCACCTACAAGTCTAGGGAATTCTAAAGGACAGTCATCAGGCCAGAAGGAAAAGTACTGGGTACAGCCCAAAGACTGTTTGGAGGCTCAAACAAGCTTTAAATTGTTATTATATGACTGATTCTTTTTGAGGGATGTGAAGTGAGTCCTTTGTTTTGTTCCTGTAGATAGTACCCCAAGCTATTTATCTGTTCTATTTTCTTAGAAATGTTAAAAAGAGAAGTAAAAAATCCACTCTTTTGCTGATAGGTTCTTCTGATAAAAATTGATTTCTATGAAGTGAAAATTGATCACACTGCTTACTGGATTGGGCAGTTGTCGGTATTCAACATTTCCTATGCCAGAAGAAAAGAGAGTCAGTGGCTTTATTTAATTGATAGGAATTAGCTAGGTTGAAGCAGTATGGAATTATTTATTTGGAAAATCATCAAGATTGTTATCCTTATATTTGCATCCTGATTTAGGATATCTAAAGAAAGGAATATACAAGAACTAAAAAGTAAATGTAGAGACTTAATAGCTTAGCAGATTTTGATGGCGAAAAACTTTTTAACAAATCAAAGTAGTATATTACTGGTTTGTTTTTCCTGCTTTTTTACTTAAAGTATTATATTCTTTTATATATTATGTACTTTAAATAAAAACCTCACAGTCATTTTCTGTGCTCCATGGGCAAACAATACTCACTTTAGCTTTGAATACCCTGCAGAGTAGATGTTAGTATATATTAAGCCATAACCTTCTGGGGTATATAAAACCATTGGTGGATTTCCTTACAAATCCAAGTAAACTATGGGCTTCATTCCAGGACAAATAGACTTGCCCAAGAATGAAGAAAAGATTCATCAGATGGCTAACTAGCATTCATGGAGGAGTCATTAGCATTTCTGGCGCTTCAAACTGACACGTCTGTCCCATCTATAACTCCCACCACTTTAATGCCAAAATACAAAGTCCTTTAAATCCTCTGATCCTTTTATTTTTAGAGCACAATATTTACTAAGGGAAAAATATATTGGTGTTTAGTCTTACATTCTACACTAATTATATGGAAGGAAGTTTGCAGGGGAGTTGTTCATGTGCTGTTAGGCCTCTGTGATGAAGAATCAGTAAAGGGGCAGTGCACAATGGTTGCCTTTCAGTGACCTTCCCGATAGCTTCCCACGGCACTGCAGCCTCTCTTTGGCAGTTTTTAATTGGCAGCCACCTTCCTTGTCCATAGTGCACCAAGGCTAGATTTAGGCATATGGAGCTTTTACTTTTGCAGTGCACACTCTGCATGCCATCACCATTCACGGGATGATACATGGTGATAGAATGCAGCACCCTCAGTCATCTATCAGCTTGCCTGGAGAGTCATGCTTACAATGTTTCCCTCCCAGCTATGATTTAGGAATAGAGAATCGTGATGCCACCAATGACCAGGTCACCAAGGATGCTGCAGAAGCTATAAAGAAGTATAATGTTGGTGTCAAGTGTGCTACCATCACCCCCGATGAGAAGAGAGTTGAGGAGTTCAAATTGAAGCAAATGTGGAAATCACCAAATGGCACCATCCGAAATATTCTGGGTGGCACTGTCTTCAGGGAGGCCATTATCTGCAAAAATATCCCCCGGCTTGTGAGCGGATGGGTAAAACCCATTATCATAGGCCGACATGCTTATGGGGACCAAGTAAGTTGTGTTAGCAAAATTTGATGTGCCATATTCTTTTTCATTGTCTTGGCTGCCCAGCAGATCTGATTTATATGGGTTTTCTTCTTCTGGTATCTACTCTGATTAAGCAAGGTGCAAAATGGAGAAATGCATGTTTGTATGTTGGTATATTTGCATAAATTTTGATAAAAGTAAATATAGATAAGCTCACAAATAAGCCCCTGTCTCAACACCAAGGAATTTTTTCAGGCATATTTTTTTCTTCCTTCATCATCTTATTAGTGTAAGTCAGCTGCTATTGCTTTTTTTGTATAGGTAATTTCAGGTGGTTTATTCAGCCAAATCAGTGGTTCTCAGCCCCAGCTGTACAATAGGATTCCATTATGGGTTTGTGTGTGTGTGTGTGTGTGTGTGTGTTTGATTGGCTTTAAAAAAAAAAAAAAATGTTTCTTTGTTTTAATTCCATTGCCTAACTCCCTCCTACACTAATTGAATCTGAATTCCATGATGTGTAGGCATTTTAAATCTCCCCAGGTGATCCTAGTGTGCAGACAGCACTGAGAACCACCAAAGATTATATTAAGCATCATAACTTCATGCATAAAAAAAGAAAAATTGACTCAATAGTTGAAAGTAGTTCATTTAAAACATTCCTTTTCTGCTTGAAAAACTAAAAAGTATAGTTTTGTGTTTCTGTCTAAGTACTCTCGTTGTCAAATTAAGCATCAAGTTGGCAACTAAACAAAAAATTCCATATTGTAACTGAGAAGCATTTATGGTGCTTTGCTGCCTTCTTTCTTCTCTTGAGATATGGGAATAAATTGCCACCCATTGTGAAGGAGTTCATATGTCAGATATGAGCTGCATAGAATATTTAATCTTCCCATTCTCTGACAATGCTTGCCAGCTGTCATTAATACTACTTCACACAAATATAAAGAAATGATGTGGCTGGCATTTACTAGTACCTGACTCTGAAACCATTCTAATCTAAGTCATTGAAGAAGTACAATGCAGCAAAGATTTACAGATGCCCTGTTGTGGGCCAGGCACACATTTCCACTAGAGTAGCCCATGCCCATGGGATAAGTGGCTGTCCTTGGATGACCCTATCTTCAAGGTCATCAACCTGTCATAGCTGTTTGAGAACGAACGATTGCTTATGTTGACGCATCCTGAGCCTGAAGTTAATAGTGATGATAACCAAGAAGACACTGAACCCTGAAGATCCAAGGACCAGATCCCAGATCTTCTAACATTGATGCATGATTTCCTCTACATCACGGTCCTTCCCTTTTAAGATTTACCTAAGAGTCGAGTGAGATAATGAGATGATGCAAGTGAATTGCTTATAGCATGTGTCTTGTATAACAAAGACAAAGCCTTAGTTCTCTCATCATCATCTGCAATGCTGCAACTACTATATTATCATCCCTCTATACGAAGACTTCTTGACCTCCAAAGTCACTCCTCTTTCCCTGGAATCCTAGAGCATTTTTAACCTATGCTCCCTTTACGGTTGAAAGATTTTATATTGCTGCTTCTCACTTATGTATGTCTTTTTCAGGTTGTAAACTTCCTAAGGGAAGATATGTTACTGCTTCTCCCTATCAGTGCTCATAATACTGTCCTGTACGTGGTAGACACCCAGTAAACTGATTTTTTAATTTCCAGTTTTGGAAACTGTCAGTCTCTTCATTCCCATCTTGAAGATCAAACCATACTGCCCTGTTTGTCTATGTGTCTTTCATCTCTATATTCTGTGATCTTCTCTACATCCTTGTAATTCCTGTTAGGATAGCTTTGTTTCATTGTTTTTCCCCTCCCCCCCACCTCAGTACAGAGCAACCGATTTTGTTGTTCCTGGGCCTGGTAAAGTGGAGATAACCTACACACCAAGTGATGGATCCCCAAAACAGACATACATAGTACATAACTTTGAAGGTATGTATAAGTCCATCGTGTGCTACGTCTTTGATTTTTTCCCCCACAGGTCAATTAAATAACATTATTAATGACTTTAAAATTAGTTGTGTGATTGCCGAAAAGTATGACGTGAATCTACAACATTTCTGAGGGACCCAAAATCTAACATAAGAAGATAGTTGGTTTTCATGTCTCCCTATAGCATGGATAAAACACAAATGGGACAGAACACTTCACTGGCAATGAATATAGACCAAAAAAGTAGATAATTATATACTTCTCTCAAAACATGAGGGAAGGTTGGCAGGAATCTGTGGTGCAGAATTATATAAATTATATAATTATATGACATATAAATTCAACATTAATAGCTACAAGTCACCTGTCTTGTAATCTTGCTTTTTGCTCTAGTAAGGTGTGTATTTGAAATGCTTGTGTTGTCTATTTGCTGACATTTTCTTCTGCCCTTCTGAGTATTTATTTTGTGACAGTGTAATGTTTGTTCTTTGCCTTTTCTTTCCCACTGTCCTGCTGCTTCAAAGGCCTGTTATGGCAAATCCCACCCAAACATTGTTGAAAGAACAGAGGACCCTCTGTTCTCTGCCGAAGTTGTTTAAAGTAATGACCCAAACAAACTCTTGAAACTTACCTGGCTTTTGTTTTCTTTGCTTCTTCTATATCACATCATTTTAATAAAATCTAGTTCTGCCGGTTTCAGCTTTATTCACTGGCTAAGCTCACATTGGCCCTGGGCCATGGCATGAATTCAAGATCTGACTCTGAGTAATAACAGAGTTCAACTAATAGAGTTATGAAATGCCAGTGATTTCATGTAATGTAATTATTTCTAATAATGGCAGTAGGAACTTTCCATATCCTCCAGAAAATTATAAGAATTTCCATTCAGTAACCAAAATGCAAATTTTTCACAGTAGCTGAGGATGGAATACACATTTAGGATAGAAAATACATGTCTGAAATTTTAAAAGTATGAAAAGACAGTTTAAAAATGATTCACTCCAGTGTCGTTCTGGTCATATTGGTACTTATAGGTGTTGCACTATCTTCAGGACCCATCAGACCCTGTTTTTCCATTTCTCTGGCCCTTTCAAAACAAGCAAGAATGTCCTTATTTAGAGCTGACTTGCCTCCTGTTTTGTGCCTCAGGAACTCATGGGATTTTCCAGGTGGAAAGATTGGCTGGATCTTTTGGAAACCTGGGCTCAGATGTGGGAGCTGGGGTTGGGTTTTGGTGCCATGTGGATATAGACTTGTTGCAGCTAAACCCCACTTGCCTTTTCTCCTTTTTCTGTCATTGGTGCTGTCCAGATGGTGGTGGTGTTGCCATGGGGATGTACAATCAAGATAAGTCAATTGAAGATTTTGCACACAGTTCTTTCCAGATGGCTCTGTCTAAGAGTTGGCCATTGTATCTGAGCACCAAGAACACTATTCTGAAGAAATATGATGGACGTTTTAAAGATATCTTTCAAGACATATATGACAAGTAACTATAGTTCTTTTTTTCTTAAGTAAGCTAGTATTTATAGTGTAGAATTTATTTCCTTACCCATGTGTGAGACACATTAAGTGAAAATTGTCGCTGGCTTTTTAAAGATGAAGGCATACTGAGATTTAGCAAGAGTGGAACAAAATCACTCGAATTTTTTTTAGAGTAAATGTGTTCTCAAGGAGGATCCCACTTTTATTTATTTCAGAGCCAGAATTGTTTGTTTGAATCAAGGTTCCTGTTAGTGACAGAGAGTTCTAATTTTTGAAGTATATGACTTTTGATTGGATCCATGTCCCTTCTCTCTTAAACCCATGGGTGTGATTTAAAACTCTGCTTTAGTGTAGGCACTTGAACTTCAATCAACATTTGTTATAACTTTGGGTTCCATGACAGTGAGCATGTGTTAACTTTTAAAATGGTGTAACTCCATTTTAGATGTAAGTGTTCAATCTGGGACACAGATTTTAGGTAATTTTTATCAGGTATTTTAATTCCTCTTTCCACTCCCCATCTATAAAAAGTATAGAAGCTGTCCTAGTTTCTTTACCAATACCACACAATACAGTAGTCTTTTCCCCCTTATGACATTGTTAAACTCTCACACATCTGATCAGCAGTAAGTTGACACTATACAGTAGTACGTGGGACACTCTACTGTCTCAATTGTTTCTAGCACTTCTACAAAATGGGTTAAATCACCCTTACAGATAGGGTTTCAGCACTAGAAAATGATTGGGCAGGGATTCAAGCTCTTATCTGTCAGATTCCCAAGTTTGTGCTACATCTAGTAAAAAATGCTATTTCCATTCTCACCCCCTTTGGAGAAGCAGATAAAGTCCCTAACAAAACTAGTTTTCTTTTTTCATTCGCTTGTTTCTTAGGCAGTACAAATCCAAGTTTGAAGCCAAAAACATCTGGTACGAGCACCGGCTCATTGATGACATGGTGGCTCAAGCTATGAAATCAGAGGGAGGCTTCATTTGGGCCTGTAAGAACTACGATGGCGACGTGCAGTCGGACTCCGTGGCCCAAGGTAAGGCACTGAAGGACCGTGGAGCGGTGCACATGGCCCATGGCAGGCAGGGCGAGCCACAGTGGTGCTCCAGTTTGGGAAGGGGGTTATATAGCTCTTTGTAAAATCATGAAATTGCAGCATCACAAGGCACTGAGGTCCCTCTTCTCAGCTGACACAGGAGGAAATTAGGCTCAGTCCAGAGAGGTGACTTCATGCAAGGCCACACAGGACATAACTCATTGGGTTTATATGTTAGCAAGAGTTTCTCTCAACCTTTTTCTCCACTTGAAGTTTTAAAGTCTGCAAGAGATAGCCCAACTGCATGATCTGAAAATCACCTCCTCTCCACTCCCATATTTTCCTCTGATGAGGATATAAAAAAAATGCATGTCCTCAGGAAAGGAGGGGTAAAATGAGGGGATTGGGTTGTCTAGTAATCAAGATTTTCCAGGAGCTCATTCTTATGGCAACAGGTACCTGGGCATCATGCCCCATCTGCCCAGTCTTGATAGTTATTCTGATACTACGTTTAACTGTAAACACAAAAGAATGGAGGCCAAGGCTGTTCACAAAAGTTCCAGGAACCAGGGACTTCATGCCAGAGTAAAGACCAAACCAACAGAAATGTTCCCATTCCCGGTGTCCTCAGCACCAAGTTGCCCTTCCAGTTCAGTGTCATTAACTTGAATTGCTCCTGATGACTATTTGCATTGACTTTAATTATGATGCTTTTTCTCAAGAAACACTGCTTTCCCTTCTTTTATGGAATGTTAATCTATCTCTATCTCCAACTCTATTAGATTGAACCTCCACCCATAGATTCACTGGTTAAAGATCACCTGATGTAACATAGGTAGTTGCACAACTCTCTTTCCCCTCCTCTGCTTCTCTGTATCTGCACAATTGTCTGTTCTGGGTGCAGTAGAGGAAGGAGTATTGCTTTGTGATAACTTCTGGTGGGTAGTGAAAACTCCTCCTTGTCATCGGAGTTCTTGGAAAGTGACCCAAATCATGCCAGTGTTTCTACTAGTCCTCATGGCAATAAGAAGAGTCTGGAGAGAACAAATGTAAATTTCAAGTTATGGAGGTACGAATGACTGTGAAATAGCGCGTAAGTGTGGTGTCCAACAGTGCATAAGATGCCTGGAACCAAGACACTCTCTGGGCCAGGCTGTGGATAAATGTCACCTCAAAGCCACTTAACAGGTTAAAAGGCAGGAGATCAGTCCTTACCTTCCTTCCCTAGAGGCATAAACTGCTTTGGACTCAACACAAATACTTCATTTTTGTCCTCTATTTTGACAGTGCTGCTAACTAGTGTCTCAATATTAATAGACAAACTCACCGTAGGTGTGGTCCCAAAGTTCTCTAGCACAATGAGATGAAAGGAGCTAGTAATCTCACACAGAAATTTTATACTTGGACTTAAAGATGAGTAAAACAAATAATGTTTATTTCTTTACTCTCAGACCAAAAAAAGAAAAATAGCATAGCAGACTAATATAAAGTTGCATTATTAACTCCACAGCTATTATTGGGAGGTAGCAAAACAGAGAAAAGTGTTCTTTCAATTTAGTATAGAAGAATAAATAAAAGAAAAATCAATGAAATGGATGTAAAAGTTGTCATGTGGTTCTCTGAATAGGAAACCACAGAATAGAGTTGTTTTATGGGGGCCATTAAAGAGGGTAAGGAAGGCAAGAGGTATGTTGTTGGGTCCATCCCGTCCTGTTTTAACCAGTCTTTTCTTCCCAGTACGGTGAGTGTGTGCAGCTGGATGACAAGAGACAAATCCCATTGATCTCTTTTCTGCAGCAGCAGAACATCTGCCCATAAGAATAGTAATATACTAAGGAATAGGAGTATATATGCTTTTCACGTATGTTCATGAATATGTGCATATTAATCTAATTCTCACATCCACCAATGAAGTAGGTGCTTTCATTGTGCCCATTTTATGAGTAAGGAAGCTGGGCCACAGAAGCTAAGCAGTGACAGAGCTAGGGTGTAGTTCAGGTGGTTGGACTCTGAGCCCTCCTCACGGATCAAGTGACATAAATGAGGAAAAAGTGCAGCCTGTGCAGACTGTGCCTGAGATCAGAAGGGGGATCGCTGCTTTCTGAAAGGCAGGTGCTCCTGTTTGTTGTGTTCACCAAGAAGATTCAGTCCTTTGCTCTCTTCTCTGAGACCCAGTGCTCTGCGTGCAGTGGAACCAAATACTTCCTGCTCTCATGTGTCTCGTGTAGGTTATGGCTCCCTTGGCATGATGACCAGCGTGCTGATTTGTCCAGATGGCAAGACAGTAGAAGCAGAAGCTGCCCACGGGACCGTGACACGTCACTACCGCATGTACCAGAAAGGGCAGGAGACATCCACCAATCCCATTGGTAAGAAGGGGTTTACTGCTGCACTGACTTCTAACTGACTGGTCAGTGCTGCTCTGCAGAGGCCTCAGGCGCCTTCCTCTGCCATTTAATGCTTTGTGTGTAAAATTATTACCCAGCTGATAACATTCTACTGATAAGAGCTGCTTTAATATGCTTCCTGAAATATACATGATATATGCTTTTCCATTTTGTGGGAGAATATAAATTACTGAGAAGAATGCTGTTGCAAGCATGTTTCTTTTCCTCTAGTGCAGTAAAATGTCACATCTGGCTAAGAATCAAAAAGCCACAGAGATAGAGCCTTCTAACCAGGATTCAAGGACAGCACTTTAAAAAGAGATTGCAACTTGGAAAGAGACCAATATAGACAAGAGGTAGAAGAGACTGTGACCTTTTCCAAATTAGCAAATGCCTTAAGCTTCAGTTTCTAGTGCTACACTGTGAAAATGTGCTTTCTTAAAACTAAAGAAGCCCAAAATATTTCCTCCACAAAAATGCAGATTTTTTTTTTTTTTTGAGTCTCTATTTGGTTAAATATTTATAATTTTCCAAAAAGTCTTGTCCCGTGTGGACAGCATCTAATGAAGTCAGCTACCCAAACAAAAAACTTCTATGTCTAGAAACCGTGACTTGTTTTAGGAATCTTTCTAACTGGTACGATTGAAGAGTGCTTCTTTTTTTTTCTTTTTAGCTTCCATTTTTGCCTGGACAAGAGGGTTAGCTCACAGAGCTCAACTTGATAATAATAAAGAGCTTGGCATATTTGCAAAGGCTTTGGAAGATGTCTGTGTTGAGACCATCGAAGCTGGCTTCATGACCAAGGACTTGGCTGCTTGTATTAAAGGTTTACCCAAGTAAGTCTAAGATGCCCCGAACTCTCTGGTCAGATTACTTATCGTTGCTTAGTCTCAAAATATATCAGTGCTTTTTGAAAATACCCAAATGATTACTCATCTAGTACAGGGGTCAGTAAACACTCTTTGTAAATTGTTAATGAGAAACATTTTAAATTTGATAGAACATAAGATCCTCTGAAACACGCCACTATTTAACTTTGTCTCTGTGGCAGGAAAGCAGTCAAAGGTGACAGAGAAGTGAAAGGATGTGGCTGCTTTCCAGTCAAACTCTGTGTCACAACCAGCTGCTGCCTAGATTGGGCCTGTGGCCCAAGCTACAGCTTGCTGACCCCTGATCTAGTTGACAGTCATGGGTGACAGGGTTCCATTTAATTAGAAAATAGTAGACAGAAACAAAGGGTTCCCTGTATTTTTCCATCCCTTTATTTTCTGCAGTTTACAGATAGGAAAAGTAAGCAGCACCAGGATCAGATGTCCTGTTGGGCACAGTCTGTCCCTTAAGTATCTGTAACCAGCTGTTAGGTATGTAGGGTACGGGAATTGACCAGTTTTCTGAGAACATGGCAACCCATATCCAGCTGAATTAGCTGCTAATCAAGACTCCTCCCTCAAAGTCAGAGTTGGTTACAGTGACTCACCTCAAGAAACACTGCTAAAGTTGAACACCAATCTCATGTCCCATTCGTGTGTCCTCAGAGATCTGGTACATCACCATAGTAGAGGTATACCCCATCACTACATCTGTCTTAGCTTAAACTTTCAGCATGAAGCTATATAGTGTTTGCAATCTTTTTAGCAGTGTGGAATCTTTGTAGCCTATATGAATAGACACCTGTCAGCAGTATCATGTTAGCCAATCCATTGTCTTTTGTTTTTCCTTAAGACATTGATAGAGCTGAGAGCATTAAAACTTTTTCGTAAGCACCTGTGACAGTGTGTGGGAATGTGGGTAAAGCATAACTGTAGTGTAGTGACGTTTGTTTTTGTAAGAATGAGGAATAAGAAGTGGGGTGGTTTCCAGCTCCCAGATATTGGTCTGAACTGAAGCTCTGTGATAGTTTCACCCTCAGAGCTTCATGATGAGAAACCTGCATGAATGTATCTGTGGCCAGGCCGCTGCCACTGCAGCGGAACCTGCCTGGAACCCAGGTCAGCCACTTACCATAAATTTGTAGCTTGTTAACATTAATCAAAGGTAAGTAGCATTTCTAGGATTATGACTCTCTTTGATACCAGATCAGAGACAAACTCAATTTCCTTCTTTCCTTTTTTTCTTTCCCATTAGTGTGCAACGTTCTGACTACTTGAATACATTTGAGTTCATGGACAAACTCGGAGAAAACTTGAAAATAAAACTAGCTCAGGCCAAACTTTAAGATCATTCCTCAGCTAAGGAGGATATATGTTTTCTGGTAACTCGGCTCACTGGTTTACATTTTTCTCTATAACACTCAAGGATAAAGCAAAATCAACTTTGTAATTTGTTTGGAAACCAGAGTTTATCTTTTCTATAAGTTTACAGCCTTTTTCTTATACATAGTTATGCCACCTACTTGAACGTGGCAGCAAGTTTTTAAATTTTTATTTTCTATTAGTAGCCTAGGAGTTACTTTAGTGCTCATTCATACTCACTGTCACTTTTTCTCATGTTCTGATACAAATGACCAAAATGAAGAGTGCTTGAAAGGTTTAACTAGAGTCACAAGATCGCTCCCTAACTATGTGGAAAGCAGAGACCCCCTCCCTCTGCCACCTCCCTGGCCAGGATGCTGGGTGGTTTTGGCAGCAGATGTCCCTTGATGTGAGGTAGAGCTACCCCTTGAACTTGTACATGATTTGAAATGAAGAGTGTGGGTGTAACGGAAACACATTGAAGACACAGCAGTCATTTTGTAAAGAGCTCTCCTTGAATGTTTTGAAAATGTTACATATTTTTGAGGCCACTGAAGTATTTAGAATCCAGAATCAATCTCCAGGGCATCGGGGATGTCCTCTGTATTTGTCTTCTCCTCCTGGACAGGTGTGGCCTAAGTATTGTGCTACCCTAGGCAGAATATTTCACCCAAGTGCAATAATATAGCTATACCTTTTATGGACTTTTGCTGGCCCAGTTTATTTCTTTTATATAAATGTGATTTTTTCAGAAGTTGATTTAATACACTAGAACTGTTCTCATCTAACTGTCGATTAAAATTAAGTACTAATGACTCTTCCCCTGCGTTTTTATTTACCAAGTGTCCTTTTGTTGTCAGGTGCTATCCCAGGACTTAGCCATAGGAATTTGATTTTTAGAAGTCTCTGCCTTCATTGAGTAAGTATACAGGCAGATGTGGATCCTATAGTACAAGAGAGAGGACCAAAGACAAAACAAAAGGGGTAGCCATGGAATATTATGAATATTATGTGCTAAAGACTGCTGAAGAATTTAGGGATTGTGGAAGGTGATAGGGAGTTAGTGAAAACTTTAGAAGGGAGAAATAGGATCATATCTTTATTTAAAAAATAGTGCTCTTGGCAGCTTTTGTAAAGAGTAAATGGTAGTCGGGGAAGAGGGAGTGGTGTGGACAAATGAAGGAAGACCAGTTAGAAAGCTATTCAGCTTCAGGTGGGAAATGATGAAGATCTGAACTCTGAGACAATGGCACAGGGAATGGGGAGATCAGGAGCGACCCTGAGAAAAGAAAATTGGGAATTGATGGGCCCCAGGAGATGTGGAGGGAGGGTTCCAACTTTCTGACTCCACATCTGGCAAAAAGTTGGTCTGCGCCCCAGAGTTATCACTATAGGGGACTGAATTTGAAGCATCAAGCAGAGCTTTGATCAAGTTTCAGAGTACGTTGATGGCCATTTTAGCGTCGCACCCAGGAGTCCTTATAGCTGAGCTAGGACTCTTTCTACTGTGCTGTGCCTGAACATTTTTAATTTTGAATGAAAGAAGAAAGCATCACGTGGAACAAAAGGATGGTGTAGAATTGAAGCGTCTTAAGTAGCCCTTCCTGCACTCACAGGCATCCTGGGAGTTGATCATATGAGCATTCGTGGCGACAAAACCATGAACCAGTTAATGTTCTAAAATAATCAGCAGATCAACAGATGCTGACCAATCCATCCAGAGGCTAATGGTTTATTCTGTTTAACAACATCAGGATCAGAATTGTTGACCTGGAAAATGCCTGCTGTTTAGCACAACAATGAAAGCAGCAGGATTCAGGGACAGAGAAGATGAGAACTTCGTACTGAAAATCTCTAAATTATAAGTAGTTTCTTAGGTGGACTCTTTAACTGAAAACATTTCAAATATAATCTTAATGAGAATCACAGCTCCCCTGTATTCTTGCCTGATAATATAAAATCCTCCCAAGACATGCCTAACAAGTGATTTCCTTTCTCCATTTGAATATTAATACAATAAAATTTCTTCCAAATTAAGGATCTTGTCTCTTCCTGTTAAGAAGATTAGAAGGTAACAAAAAATATTAAGGAAGACTTTGTATAAATTTTGTACTTTTATCCTAGTAGAGATTTTATTTCATAGTTTTTTATTTTTAATATTTTGGAAAATGTATCATTCAAACTCTTAATTTCTCTTAAACAAGAAACTTGATCAACTGAATTTAAATGGTATGTCAGACTCTGAAAGAGGTGTCTTGCAGACATTGTGACGTGCTAATAATTTAATTTTGACAATATTTCAAACTTACAAAAAAATGCAAAGAATAGTACAAGGAAATCCCAGAATCTTTGCCAGTTTACTTTGGTACACTTATACATTCTCTTATTCTTTCATACACACACATGTACTTATATCTCCTAAGCCATTTACGAGTAATTGAAAGACTAAGGTGGGGGACTAAGACTAAGGAAGCAGGGGCACTTGATAGACACAAAAGGATGGAATTTTCCTACTCACAATTATTCCTATTCCAATTCTCCATTTTGGGAAGTGGTTCAAACAAATCTTTCTCAAAATCTCCAGCAATAAGCTCATTATGGCTTTGTATACAATAGTGGTATTTGAACCTTATCACTTGCTTTATATGTGCAATTACCCATTTGGATTCTAGGCTACATCTTTGAAGCTTCCCATAACAAGGACACATGAGCAGATGACACATCAGAATCAAGAAGACGAGCCTTTTCACCTAAAATATTTTGCAAATTTTTTTTAATTATATAGATTACCCGTCACTTTTTTTTAAAGATTTATTTATTTTTATACAAGAGCTAGGGTACAGGCCAGAGGCGCGGGAGGGTGAGAGGATTCACCAGAGGCAGAGCAGAGAGCAGAACAGGCAGATGCAGCAGGCACGACAGGAGAGGTCTGCCGCGCCATGTGGGATTCTCACAGGCCGGCAGGGATTGAACCCGCAATGCAGAGCCTGTAGACAGCTTCACAGTGCGGTGCTCAACCCGCTGTGCCACCGGGGAGGCCCTACCTGTCACTCTTGAAGTATATCAGGCCACTATTTTGCCTATAAATAGTAATATAGCAGGAATCATGTCAATGGATTTATTTTTTATGTAGCTAACACCTTGTGTTTTCTTTGCTATAAACATAGGGTTAAAAATCTTAGATTAAAAAGAAAAAGCCTCGCTCTAACTCTGAGGTAACCTGACCTTAGAATAGGTGTTATCATACTTCATTAAAAAAAAAATCTGCCAATGCTGAGAAAACTTGAGAACAAGAGAGGGGCTACTCAGTATGTCCACAGGCTCCTCAATAAAAGTAAACAGTTGATTTCTCATTATAAGCTATGGGATCCAGAAAACAGTGGGATAATATATTCAAAGTCCTGGGGGAAAAATATGCCAGGTACTCTTAAGTGGTCTAGGGTTGGAATGATTTCTGAAGAGAGTTTGGAAAAAAAAAAAAGAAGAAAAAAAAAAGAGAGTTTGGTCACCTTTGAACCTCCTTTCTTATTACAAGGATCTTTGCAACAATAATGGGTGTGACCCAAGGAAATAACCAGCATGTTACTGCTATCACCCAAACATTTTTTCCTAACCTTCCTTTTTCTTTTGCATTAAAAGTTTGTACTTCTACCAATCTCTAAAAAGTCTTCATAATTTATTATAAATTTATGTAATTTATCACATATGTGTATCTATTATACTTAGTTTATATAAACATCTATTATCTGCTATGTAAACATTATTATCTATTATCTATTATACTTAGTTTATGGTAAACATTTGGAAGAAATACAGTTAAGCGCTGTTCTATTTATTTTGTTTAATTTCATTACCAACTTGGTTTTTAGGATTAACTGATAGAACATTCAGTACATTTTTTTATAGTGGAAATAACTGTTTTATATGTCTTTGGAATTAAAATATTTTAAGTCACATTATCCACTCAATAGTCAGATTTCAATGATAATCTTAAAAACTGAATGAAAAAAATGTATCTTAAAAATCGTTCTTTTCTTGATTCTGAATGACTGAATCACTTAAGGGACCACTGTCAAAAATAGACAAGTCCCTAGAAGATTGTTGGTTCCAAGCCAAAGATGAGTTCAATTATAGGTACAGTGAATCTGAGACAGGCAAAAAACCCAATGGGAGAGTTCCAAGCAGCATCTGAAGGCAAAGAATTGAAATCAGGGCCAGAGATGTAGACAGTAGTTGTAGTCTTAAAAATAGAGATGCTCTAAGAAGAAAAAAAGGCAAGAACAATAAATGGTCACTGATTTGGCCACAGTTAAGAAGCAGGAAGGGACTTCCCTGGTGGCGCTAGGGGTTAAGATGCAGCCTCTGAAGCAATCCGCAGCCGCTGCAGCACAAGTTCAATCCCTGGCTAGGGAGGTGACCCACATGGCACAGCAGACCTCTCCTGACTTGCCCACTGCTCCCCTCAGTGTATTTCAGTCCATCTGCTTGTTCTGTTCCCCACTCTGTCTCTGGTGAATCTTCTCAGCCCCCACACCACTGGCCTGTACTCCAGTTCTTGTATGCATAAGTAAATCTTTTAAAAAAAAAAAAAAAAAAAAAGAAGAAGCAGGAAGAAGAATCAGAGAAAGACAAAGAAGGGCCAGAAAGTACAAAGAAGGATCGATCTCAAAGACTGGGAAAGTCAGTGTCATAGGAAATCAAAGGAGAAGCTAATTATTAGAGAAAGGGTTAGGCATTAAGACTGAGAGAGACACTGGCAACTCTTGACAATCACACTTTTAAAGGCATGCTAATAAAACAATACCTAAAATAGTACTTCAAACAGTGCTAAGGGACAGGCCACTGGCTGTGGGTTCTCACAAATGCATTCAGGGTCCAACAGCAGCGGGGTTTATTTAACAAACAGGAGATTGGGGAAAGAGTTTCTAAGGCCACAGTGGCCAGTTGTCTCACCCCAATAGTGTCCACAAAGTGTCCAAAATAGTGTCCACAGGGTCCAACAAAGGCTGCTAAAGTGAAATGGCTTTGTCTGGTCAATGAGGGCCTAGGCTGTGGCACACCAGTCAGCCATGCACAAGTTGCAGTAAGATTTTTTTTTTTTTGGTGGGACCCTCGCCAGCGGCCGGGGAATGAACTGGCGCTGCAGAGGCTGTGGGCAGCCTTGCAGCACAGCGCTCAACCGCTGCGCCAACAGGGGAGGCCCTGCAGTAAGATTTTTAAATAAATGTTTCTCCTCTATGTGAGGTTTATCTCATTCCCATCTTGTGGACTGATACACTACCATCTATGAGTAGGAATCATTTGAAGAAAGGCAGTAAAAATATAAGTAAGAGAACAAAATAAAAGGCATTACATAAACAACTGAATCAAGATCTAAGAGAAATTCTGGGCCTCCCTGGTGGCGCAAGGGGTTAAGCACAGCACCATGAAGCTATCCACAGCCACTGCAGCATGAGTTCAATCCCCAGCCAGCCAGGGAGTAACCCACTCCGCACAGCACACCTCTCCTGACTCGCTCGCTGCTCCCCTCAGCAGTGTACTTTGGTCATACTGCCTGTTCTGTTCCCCACTCTGTCTCTGGTGAATCCTCCCTCTCTCTCTCACACACACACACACACACACACACACACACACACACACACACACATACACACACCCCACATCTCTGGCCTGTTCCCCAGCTCTTGTATACATAAATAAATAAATCTTAAAAAAAAAAAAAGATCTGTGAGAAATTCAACTCTTACTGAAACTCCAAACCTGTACATACATTCAACAATTTATTTTTGAGGGCCTACTGTGCCAGACACTGGCCTAGGCCATGGCCTCACTGTGGTAAATCAGTCTTGATCCTTCCCCCAAGATCAAAAAAGAGAGTGGCCTGGCAAGATTATATAGAATTCTGAATTGGCACTTAGGGTCCACATATATATATATTATACAGGCAACTTTTGTCAAGCAAATATAAATCCACTTATTATTTATTTATTTATCATTACATCGATTGCTCGTGGAAGATCCAGTTTTGTTTACTCAACTTTTCAAGTTTTAGTCTCAATTGGCATAATCTTCTTAAACATGGTTTTGTCATTCTGATGTGTATTAACCTTATGGAAAATCAGCTAATAACATTCTGTAGTGATAGGGCAGACTGGGAAAGAAATACAAAGAAGAGAGAAGAATGAATCCTTATAGAATACTGAGATATGGGAGGGTGACAGATTCGAGACACATGATTGAGTAACTGGGATATAAAAGTGGAAATATACCATGTAAATTAGAACTATGGAAAAGCAGTGTATAGACAGTTATATGCAAAATTAATGACTTGCCAATTCAGCTCATAGTGTGTGGCATAGTGTGTGGCATCAGATAGTAAGTTGTTTTCTGGAGGAAATGACTAAATTTTTTTGTACATGACATAACTTTATCCAGGTTCAAGTTACAAGCTTGCAAATAGGCCATGTTTCCAAAGTTTGAAGAAATCATTTGTTTGGCACTGAAACACAATTTCTTGCAGAAGCATTGTAGTAAGTATTCAGTTTCTCACTAGAGGTTGACAGAGTTCACATTTGTGCATGTGATCCTATACATACATTTCATTTAATCCCCAGCACAATTGCCACTGTATTTTGCAGAGGAGGAAACCAAGGCCCAGAGAATAAACGTGACTTGCCTAGGCTCAGCTAGTAAGTAACAGGATAGAGAAAAAGCAAGGATTTTCTCAGTACACCTAGATAAAATGTTTCTAAAAATATGAATCAAGGCCGCCATACAGCAAAATGTGAGCAAATGGGCAGAACACTCAGTTAGACACTCAAATGCAGATTCCTGGACTGTTCTACAGAATCAGACTCTGAAGGTAGAGTCCCAGGGACCGCCAGGTTAGCAAACTTCAAGGTAACTCTAATGAATGCTAAGAGTTGACAACCAGGAAAGGAAGAGAGGCAAAAGCTACCAGATACAGCAAGTATATTTACACAACAGTCTGATTGCCTAATATCAGCCATTTTAAAAAGAGGATAAGAATGATTA